ACATGTGCTAGCGTTTAACCCCCACTAGCAGGATCATCAATAACATATCGACATGCGCCGACATGTGCTAGCGTTTAACCCCTACTAGCAGGATCATCAATAACATATCGACACGCGCCGACATGTGCTAGCGTTTAACCCCCACTAGCAGGATCATCAATAATCATAACTATATTCGAGACAAAACCATGCAGGATTTACAAAAAACCTGAATTTCATAATCAATCCCAAATTTCAGAACAAACCGGAAAAGTTCCATGCAGGCATGGATTTAACAGAAAACTCAACATTTACAAAATTCTCAGTTCATCAAAGCAGTTTAGTCAATTCCCAAATAGGCATGCTCTATTCCAGAAAAACAATGAAATTGTCATTTTCATTTCTCAATCATGCTCATTTCCAGAAAATTAATAAAATCCTCATTTTCATTTCAATTATGCTCAATTTCAAAAAAACAAGGAAACTCTCATGAAAATCATCCAACTTTTCATTTCAATTTAATCACACTCAGATGCTGATAAAATCAATTTAAAATCAATTTAAAATCAATTTAAACCTTGCCACCATCTCAAAAACAATTTAAAACGTGCTTTAAAATCGAAGGGCTTTACCATAATTTACTTACCTCACTCGCATAAAACCGAGCACTCAATCTCAGTGCTAACTGACAGAACGATCGGGAACCTAATCAAAACACCTCAGAATTAATACTAGACTATCACAAATTTAAACGGAAATCATCATTAGCACTACCCCTAATCATAGTGCTATTTCTATCAATATCCACATAACCGGACATCTCCAAATTTATTCTTATATCACAAACTAATCATTTAAATCCCCGTTAATTATTGACCCTCGGTGTGTGAACAGTGCCCGTGAACAGTATCGTGAACAGTACTTCACTTCCAAAATTGGCCAAAACACTAGCTAATTCACGGGATTTTTCTCCAAAATCACAACAACCCAATTAATAAAACTCCTACATAAACCAAGCACAAAACACATTTAAATGCTACCGGAATTCCTCCCCCATTTTAGCAAAATTCGGCAAGCACAGGGCAGCACTTAATGGACAAAACCCAGCAATTAAATGGGTAATTTTAGGCTTAGAGGAACTGTCCATACCAAAATTTAGCAGCCAAAAACCGAGCCTAGCAGGGGGGGAGAAGCCGGCGGCAGAGAAGAAGAAATTCTGCAGGGGAACTCGCAGCTACCCAATCCAAAAACCAAAACACAATTCAAGGTAAGCCCAAGCCAAATTCAAAGCTAAAGAGATGAACTCTTGGCTGAATCTTACCAGAAAAACCGAAGGATTCAAACCCAGCAGAACCCGACGGACAAGGGAGAAGAACAGAGCAGATCCGGGATTTCTGGGTAGAGAGAGAGAATTCTAAGCCCCAAATCTTGTGATTAAGCAAGAAAGAAGGAGAAATTTCATCAAGATCTCACCAGGTTTTCAAGGAGGAAGAGAGTCGGTGGCTTGGGGGGGCTGGTCGGGGAGGCAAAGCATCGGG